TAGGGTTAGATACAGCTCAGTGAAGGTTCTGGTTCTGGGTCTGGTTAGGGTTAGGGTTAGATACAGCTCAGTGAAGGTTCTGGTGCTGCTGTCAGCATGAACTCACAACATTCAGTCAGTGTTTGTTGTTTCCAGTCCAGAGGTGATGAGCTCTGAGAACCTGTCAACACCCAGAGATTTAAATGAGACGTTGTGAAATATCAGAACCTGAAGCTCTGATCCGGTTCATTCTGACGATGAGCCACACGTCACACATGATGAATTCAGGTGTTGGTGGAAGATTGTGTCTGTTTCATGTGTTTTTAACGACAACGTGCCTCTCAAAGCCACCCATTGGTTGAGGGTTTGAAGGGTTAATGCTGATTGGATGAGGTCACCATATGATGGAAACAAAGGCTAAAGCTGCATGTTTTATTCATGCACCAGGGTGTGACCTTCACATGGAGCCTGGTCAGTCTGCAGGGGACACACTGAGTCACATCTACACATCTGTAGTCACGTCTGAGATTCTGCAGCATCGTTCTGACCAGTTCACACTAGAACTAAATCTCAGCCATGAAGACGTGTACCTGGAGCTGTGAGAAGTCAGGACTAAACTGTGGGTGACCTGGAACTCCAACAGAGTTCAGCTGCACAGAGACAGTCAGGTGTTCACATAGGAGCTGTAGGTTTCTGTGATGACGACCTCTGGAAGGTCAGAGTGACGTGATGTGTCCTGCAGAATGAGATCTGAACTGATGTCTGCAGCACAGGAACAGACCAGCTGCTCTGTGACACCAAACAGGACGAGGAAGTTTGAAACTGTTCAAACCGGCGTTAAGAACAAGCTCTGGATCTGAGCTCTGCCCTGAATCACCCCCCGCTCAGGGCGCCCCAGTAGCTGAGTGGGCGACCCGTAAACAGGTCCGAGTCCGACCCATGGCCGTGCTGCAGGTCCTTGCCCCACTCTCCACCCCACATCTCCCGTCTCTCTTCTCTGTCCTCTATAATGAAGCCAAAAAGGTCAAACATGAGTAAAACCAACCGTCCCTGGTTCCTCGGAATGAGACCAGAGCTTCCATCACCCAACACGCTGTGTTCAAGGACCCTGGAACAACAGACGCCTGAGGAGGTGCTGGCTGACGAACAGACCGAATTAGAATCAGCTTCCTTTCCTGTTGGACCTGTGTCCAGTCAGACACCCAGAGGAGTCGCTCCCTGCTGGCTGTAAGACAGGAGGTGGTTTGCTGCAGCGGTGGAAGGGAAGAATGCGTTTTCACACCTTTCACATCACTTCCTGATTGAATGTTCACCTGTTGTTGGAGTTAGTGAGCACCTGCAGTGCCGTTCTACTGACTGCTTCTCCTCCCAGTGACAGGAACGTCCTCTCTCCAGCTCCTCTCTGTCATCGCTGCTCCTTTGTCTCATTTAGAAGCTGCCTCAGCTGAAAGCGTCGGCGGCCTTTATGGCCTTTAATGACGCCAATGATTCACAGTCTGCGCTTTGACTGGAGCTGTTTGCAGGAGACAGCTCAGAAAGCTGCATCTGCTTAATGTGAGGGTCAACATTTAAGTCTTGGTGCTGCCAGCTGGTCTGATCAAAGAGAACACAACCAGTCAAAGCTTCTGTCCTGTGAACTTCACTGTAGAATGACCAGTGTGTGTCTTGTTTCCTCAGATGGTGGTGGTTTCAGATGACGTCCACGAGTACGCCGTGGCTCTGAAGGACACGGAGGAGAAGATCGCTCGCTGTCCTGCCAGGGTGAGCTCGGTCCATCAGACCTCTGACGTTTCTACACCTTTGTTCAGTGCCATCATCAGCTCAGGGTTAGGGTCAGTGTTAGCACAGCAAACACTGACTAACGGAGACACGAGTTAAAGCCACAGTTAGTTACAGAAATGTGGACCTGGAACTACAACAGTCAGAATTAATCTGCACACATCAGAATCTGGGATTCTAATGTGTCAGAACACTGCTGCAGATGTCCACAGTTTGGACCTGATGAGAAGCACATGAGGCCTGAGTATGAGTCTGTGGCTCAGGTCCAGTCTGGGTCCAGTAACAGCTTCATGTCTGAATGAGCTCCAGTTTTTAGCACAAACACGTTTATTCTCTACACAGAAATGGTTGGTGGTGGAACCGGAGCGTTTGGGTCCTTGTGACCAGACACTGACGGTGGTCCAGTACCTCGTGTAGATGATGGAGACGTCACAGCTGGTGCTGATTCTGCTGAGCAGCCTTCAGTCACCAGGAGTTGAGATGAAACTGAAACCTTGGTGCCTGTCTGCTTGTTTTCAGAGAGCCGACATCCTGGAGGAGCTCCAGAAGAGCCAGAAGGTGTTTGCAGAGAAGCTGAACCACCTGAGCAGGAGGCTGGCCTGGATCAACGCCACCATCTACTCCAAGGTAACCGCCGCTCAGGTTCTGCTCGTCTGGGTCAGTGATTCTTTTAGTTTCTGACTGGTTCTTGCGCTCTGCTGCCATTGTGCAGGAGAAGATGCTGGATGTCTACTGGCTGCTGTGTGTTTGCATCCGGACCATTGAGCACGCCGACAGCACCGGCTCTCTGTTCGCCTTCGCTCCAGAGTTCTACCTCAACGTGGCCATGAACGCCTACAGCGCCCTGAAGAACTACTTCAGCCCGGCCAACAGCATGGAGGAGCTCCCAGGTACCGCCCCGATTGGTTCTGGTTCTGGTTCAGATGCTGCGTACGACATTCAGAATGTTTTCAGTCCCAGACAGATGTTTGCTGCTGATCCAGGATCAGATTTACTTGGTGCACTAACGTGTCTCCAGAACCATTTAATGCTGCGTGATGTTCAGAACCTCCTTCGATGGGTTTTAATGCTTCTAGCTGAAAAATGTCAGAACATTTCAGGAAGTTCTGCTGTGTTCCCTGTCAGGCAGCCAATCAGACGGACTGGAACCTGAACCCAGTTTATCCCAGAACAGCAGTGAGAGTGTCGGTATGATGTCAGGAACAGAAACAGGCCCAACTTCAGTCTGAGCTGAGTTCTAGCGACCCGACTAGAACCCGACTAGAACCCTGTGTTCCTCTTCACACCACCTAAGACATGGCCACCCAAACCTCAGAACCAAACCTCAGAACCAAACCTCAGACCCAAACCTCAGAACCACACCAACTCCATGTTTTCTGCTTCACCCTCAGGCTACGAGGAAACCTTGACCCAGCTCGCTGCCATCCTCGCCAAGCACTTTGCGGACCCTCGCATCGTCGGAACCGGTAACACACACACACACACACACACACACACACACACACGTTCATGCACATTTACACACGTGCACACACAGACACACACATGCACACACGGGGACACACGTGCACACACGGGGACACATGTGACATGTTCTTGTGTTTCAGCACCGAGTCGTGGTCGGTGTAATTTGACTTTTGGACAACAAATTAGAAAAAGACTGTTTCACGTCAAAGTGGAGACAGATCTCTACGAAGTCGGTACCAGTTACTGTTCTGATCCAGTAGTCTGTGGAGTCTGTGCAGCGGCGCCCCCTGCTGTGGTGCCGGCATCTCACAACCCAAACAGGTTTGTACCAGAATCGAGTTCAGCGCTGCTTCCTGCGGTTCCGTCCGTTTCTGGGACGCTCACATCAAGCAGAACCTGCTGCTGCTGTTTGAGGTGAATCAGGCCGATTCTGTTTGATTCTGTTTGGTTCTGCAGCAGATGTATTCAGTGTGTGAGCAGTGGTCTGTGTTGATCACATGATTCCTGCAGAGGTGAGACTCACCTGCTTCACAGCGCAGCCGTCACAGTGGTGCTGTTGGATCAGTTCCTGCTCCGACCGTCATTCATCAGGCTGCATGTGGGTCTCAGGACGGACAGACGGGGTTCTGCTGGTCCTGCTGTTTATCCACACAGCTGTGTGTCTGTGTTGGTCCGGATCAGGCTGCATTTGGGTCTCAGGACGGACAGACGGGGGTTCTGCTGGTCCTGCTGTTTATCCACACAGCTGTGTGTCTGTGTTGGTCCGGATCAGTCTGCAGACATCAGTCGCTGTTTTCTTCAGTGAACTTCTGAGTTTGTGGTGATTAAGTTCTGACTGATCAAGTGTTGACAGTGAAGAACGGCTCAGAACAGAACCGCTGCTGACGGCGTCACCTGATTTCTGTTTGGGTCAGTTTGTCATTTCAAAAAGCTCCTCAGCTTCTGTTCACTTTACTAAGATCTGTAAATGTCTCTAACGTGTCCGACGGTCCCTGAACGCCTCTCTGGGCCCGATGTTGGAGGTGTAACGTGTCCGACGGTCCCTGAACGCCTCTCTGGGCCCGATGTTGGAGGTGTAACGTGTCCGACGGTCCCTGAACGCCTCTCTGGGCCCGATGTTGGAGGTGGAACGTGTCCGATGGTCCTCTCTTTGTTCTCTGTTCTCTCAGATATCAAGGACTCTCTGATGCAGGCGCTCGCCAGCTACGTCTGTTACCCACAATCCCTCAGGGCCGTGGAGAGGATCCCCGAGGAGCAGTGAGTGTTTCAGCCTCCGAACCACGATTATTATCATTATTATTGTTATTATTATTATTATTATTATTATTATTATGTGAAAATGAGCCCAAAGCTGGGTTGATGTTGAGGCAGACCGACTGTTTTAAGGTGGACTGACTGATTTAAGGTGGACTGACTGGTTTAAGGTGGTCTGACTGATTTAAGGTGGACTTACCTGTTGAAGGTGGATTGACTGGTTTCAGGTGGTCTGATTGATTTAAGGTGGACTGACTGGGTAAAGGTGGATTGACTGGTTGTAAGCTTGTTTATGTGATTCCAGGCGAGTGGCCATGATGAGGAACCTTCTGGCTCCGTATGAACAGAGACCCTGGGCTCAGACCAACTGGATCCTGGTCCGACTGTGGAGGGTGAGAACCTACACAGACACGCACTGTAACACAACTGTAGCAGACAAACTGTGTGTTACTGTTGTTATGTGACTGTGTGTTACAGACTGAACGTTGTGAGTCTGTCATCACAGAAGCTCCTTTTTGTTTCAGGGTTGTGGTTTTGGCTACAGATACACTCGACTCCCTCACCTGCTGAAAACCAAACCTGAAGATGCAAACCTGCCCAGTCTGCAGAGTGAGTCTGTGTGTGTGTGTGTGTCTGTGTGTCTGTGTGTTGTTTTCCCTCCAGTGTGAATCTGTGCGTGTCTATGTGTTGTGTTTTCCTTCCCTCAGTGTGAGTTTTACAGAGTCTCAGTTTGTGTATTTGTCTCCTGGTTCAGGTCTTTGGTTTCCATAAATAAATGGAGGCTGTGACAGACTGACTGCAGTTTATTTTTACTGCAGCTGCTGATTTACAGCTTTAATCAGGACTCAAAGTGCTTCACTGAAGTTGTGTGACATGTTTGTACAGATTTTACAAAGACCAACATTTTATTTTAGGACACAGAGCAGAGATGGAGGTCAGAACACAACACACACACATGAACGCAGTGTTTTTCAGAGATTTTCATTAAAAAATGAATGAAATCCCTGCAGCAACTCACATATTAGGTGTTTTAGTGTCTGTAATTTGTTCAGTCCAACATTTATATGATAAAATATAAAAATTCAGCTTCAGGCACGAAGTGAGGACAGAATGTTTAACGTAAAATATCACAGTTCAGCAGGAACCGCAGATAAAATCAATACAGAAATCAGCACTTAACCCTCTGATGTGTGGATAGAGTGTGTTTTCATGTCAAACAGCTGCTTATTCACTGACACTAGTTAACTGGATCAATGAAGCTCTTGGCATTATCTGATGGTTAATACATGCGGTTCTGGAGACACTGTTTCTGCTGCTGTTTACATCCTCGGCTCAAAGCCAAACACCTTTCTGGTGGAGTCCAGTAGGTGTTTGACTCCTTTAGGTGTCAGTCTCCTTTAGGTGTTGGACTCCTGTAGGTGTTAGACTTCTGTAGGTGTTGGACTCCTGCAGGTGTTGGACTCCTGTAGGTGTTGGACTCCTGTAGGTGTTAGACTCCTGTAGGTGTCAGACTCCTGTACGTGTTGGACTCCTGTAGGTGTTGGACTCCTGTA